ACGGTAATAGCTTATTCCCTTTATGGGAAATTCGCTAAAATGTTACTAAATTGTATTTTTTATCACAAACTAAAATATCCCTAAATATATTTTGTTGCATTGTATACACTGTTCAATATTTGCTGCCTTCCAAATAAACCCATGCCTGAATCAGATTATGCCAGTGTTAAGAAATCTGTTGCTAGTGGCAAACCAAACCTAGGACTGTAAGTTTGTTAAGCTTGCTTAATGTCTAGCTTCTGTTGTACCATTTATTAAATTTTGTTTAATTTATTTGAGCTTAGCTATCCCCATTGTAGCTACCACTAAAAGTCTGCCCAGTGCTCAGTACTCCTATCTCTTAGGCTATAGCTGCTGACACAAAGACTTTGTCTTGTTTACACTTTTATCAACATTTCCTAGACTTGATGGCCAGATCTCACATCACCAGCTGGCCTTGGCAGGTGTCTTATCTAACCTTCACCTCAGTGCAGACTGCAGGCAGCTCTTGATAACACCTTATCTTTGTCTTCAACTTATGTCAGTTAAGTCTTATCATTGACTATTGGATACAGAAGTATTGTTGTATTAATAGTCAAAGGTCTTATCAACAACAACACTAAATGTCTGAAAAAACACTAAATATTTTATAATTACTATATATTTTAATATGGATGCAGTTCCTAGATGCTAACCCAGTGAGCCAGTTCAGTATTTTATTTTTATTTATTACTTGGCACAATACATGAATTTACAATACAAAACTGCATAAGCCTTATAGTAAATTGGTAACTTCAAAAAAGGTACTGTTTTTTAGTATTCGATCCCAAAAAATTGCTATTCAAAAACATTGACAATGATAAACCTAAAAAAAAAACCTAAACTTTGTGGGAATTTTCAACTGAATTTATCCTGTCTCGGAAAAATATATAATTTTAAAAATCAAGCCAATGGTTTTATTTACTGATTTAGTCTTAATCTTTGATCTTTAAATATATTTGGTTTAAATTTTGTGGTTGCATTATGTTTAGGAAGTTGCTTTAATTGTTTCTTGCTAGATATATAGGCCTATGTAATTTTTCTTTTACATTCATCCTTTCTCCTTTTTGTTCATACCGTAGAATTTTGACACTCCCATTTAAATTTTAATAAATTTAAATTTTCCCATTATTATGGTTGTGGTTGTATTATAAAACGTGTTCAGCGTACATTGATTTTTGAGTTGTTATGTTGTTGTATTTTACTGCTTGAATATGCTCTTTGAATCGGCCAGAAGTTGACTGCTCTCAAAATAATATATATTTAATTTTAATAATATATAATTTTGAAATCCTTAATTTTGAAAATATCAAAGAATTAAGACGAAATCAATATATAAAACCACTAGATTAACGATTTAAAAAACTATATATTTGTCCAAGACAAGATAAATCCATATAATCCCAAAGTATCCATGAACTTTTGAGAAAACTACAAGTCACACCCCCATGAACCATATACTTAAAATGTTTGTAATGTAGAGAAACCTTGTTGAGAACTTTTTTATAATGCCAATAAACGATGCAAACCATCTGAATGATTTTGAAGGATCACACTGGAGTGTTTTATTTTTTGACAAGGAGGCGAAAAAATTCTTTCACTATGACTCTTTAATTAACCATAATGTTGACCATGCAAATGCCGTTTTACAGAAAATAACAGCTTATCTCGAAGTGACCAAGCTGACACCAGAACTTCTAGCTATAGACTGTCAGAATCAGATTAACAGTACGACTGCGGGATTTATTCAATAATGGCGATAGAACTAGCAATACAACACCTTATAATTTATTTTTGTAAAAAAATACAACCGACTTCAAATGCTCTAAAAAGAATGAAATAATTTCAATAAAGTAAACTTTTGTATTAGTCAAGCTCGCGTATTTTAAGTCGCGGCTCTATGATGATTTTTGATACAAAATTTAAAGAGGATGTCCACATTGCAGGTGACTATCTATAACTAAAGGTGATTATAATCTTATAGTGGTATTAACGAATATCTTTAAAAAGATTATAATGTATTTACATGTTTCTAACTTGGAAAAGTAACGTTTTAATTTTAAACTAGCTTCTTTTCCCTATCATAATATAAAAAAAAATTATTTTCCTTATTATATAGAACATTTGTGTGTGTTATTTTCACTATGCAATCATTCTGAAGTAAACATAAAATACAAGAAAATACTTCCTTTGATATATAAACAAAACAGTTCAGTATGTTTTTTTATATATTTATGTTATCCAGCTACAATTTATTGATTTTCAAAATACACTCTCAATATCTTTTATTTTATTCGTATTTGCAGTTAGAGCCGTGCGCGATTTAAATACGTGAGCTTGACTAATACAAAAGTTTACTTTATTGAAATTATTTCATTCTTTTTAGAGCATTTGAAGTCGGTTGTATTTTTTTACAAAAATAAATTATTTCATGATTTTTAGTGACTGTATAATTTGTTATATATTAATTACTTGAAGTTTTTTGATAAGCAAAACTGTTTGAAACAATCAAAAGTGCCACAGAATAATCATTATTTTTAAACTGCTCGAGTCACCTGTTCAGGTTAAATAACCAATGGGTATAAAAATTAACATTTTTGGATTTTCCTTAAAAAAACAAAAAAACAAAGAGTTGTCCATTACATTAGGCCTAATGAAAAACTAAATGTCTTTCCTAGAGACATTGAAATGCCAGAAATCTTCGTTTCCTGCAATTGGTGTACTTCTACATTATAAAACTAAATACAGTAAGGTCTCAAGCCTTTTGGAACAATAAGAAAGTTATTCCTCAGCTACCAGCACTAAAAAATCTCTTAAAAGTAGAAAATCGGTTGTTGTCACGTATATTACCTTTGAAAAATACGTACATGAAAGATTGGTTCAGCTAAAAGTGGTGTAAGAGGTAGGTGGTTTTGTTTGCTCAAGATGTAGTCGAAATTGCAAATCAGCTTCCCATTTCCGAAGCAGGCATAATATTATTGACAGTGAAGAATATTAATAAACATTCCACATCTTCAAATGCACGTTTAGTAATTAAAATATTTAACACTTTTAAGACGATTGAAGATTATGCAATCTCACACCTCTTATGTCGTTTCAGGAATAATTGCGTCTAATTTATATTTGGACCTCTTTTACGAATGCTTTGGTTTTCACAATACACCTTAAATTGTCAATATCATACAGCTATTCACTATGTTTTTATAAGTCAGAACATTCAATACTCAAAACAGAATCATACACAAATCAGGTCAAACGTTTAAATACCTTTTTTATAGTAACCAAAACAAAATGCATTTTTTCAATGTAACTTATTTAGGCTCCATGGCAAGAAATAGTTTATTAATCAATATGAAGCAACTGTTTCATGAAGAAACTGTCTGTAGCTTCATTTAAATGGTTTTAACTAACAGCTGTAGGAATGTTATTATTATTTATTGCCTTCTCTGCAAAAATGAATACATTTTAGTGTAAATACAATCAGGCAAATAGAAATTCGCTTAGTCTGCAGGTTTGCTGCGGCAGAGGTATTTTCATATCAGTTTATAACAATCGGATTCTAATTTTACATTTTTGTCATACATAGTATAGGACACAAGCTGCTTGTGGAGCAAGGGAAAGTAAACCACAGTTGTGTAAGGGCAGGGAAACCTTGTATGACTCAGACTGCCACTGTCGGAGGGGCAATCCCATTTACTTAGACCTTGGTGGCAACTTTGCAAACTATAATATTACTTTGTTGGAACTATAACATGAATGAAACTAAACCATTTGTTATTTAAAATATCAGAATGTAACTTTTCCTTGTAGTTCCCATGGGTCATTGCAAAAACCTCTTTTCTGTCCAAGTAGTGGACAGCAATGAGTAGGCCTAACCAACCATGCACTTGGCTTATTCCTGGAAATGACTTACCAATTTGCTGATACTGTACAGTTAAATACTCTGAAAAGTGCCACCATGAAATCACGGGGTTATCATTGGGTAAAATTATCCGTAATCTGGCAACCGAATCTTTAATAGAGGATAAAAGATTTATCTTGTACCTTGTAAATCAAGACATAATAATGAAATCTCTTTGTTTAAGATAATTATGGAAAGAACGATTACTTTTAGCTATCTTCATATATGGCAATTTGTATTTCATATAAGTGGTTTTTATGTTTACAAAAATGTTATGAAAAGAAATGTTTATGATTCACTTTAGAGCACATACTTTGTTAAAATCAATAATACTTTCTTTCTCTTGCAATGATCTTGTAACTTACTAAGCCAAAATATTTTTAGTTTAAATATTTTACCTCGGTTTGACCAACCATGTATTTTATGAGTCTGATTCAATGTGTTTAGTGTTGAAGCTATTACAACTTTTTTTGTTTGTTTTGGTCTATATCTTAAGGTAGGCTAGTTATGGTCAGCTTGAAAACTTACTTGTTTGTAACTAAGGTAGTGCATCTTTATGACTGTTGATGCATTTCTTGCACAATGATAATAATGCTCATGAAGGAGTTTGAACTTTGTTGTTTGAGAGTTTTTAGACATAAGAATGATTAGCTATACATATCTCCTAAATAATATCATGTACATAAAGGTATACAAAGGTTAGTGTGAATGTTTTGTAAAATTAATAGCAATCAATCAATGGCATTAATGGTTCTTACATTTTACATTGTTTAGTTCTGGTATTTTCTTCAAGAGATCTGGTATGAATGGTGATACTACAGTATTATAACTACTATTATTTGATCATCTGTGTTTTGAATGTAAGGTATAATTGTTGATAGTTGATATACATATACATTAAGGAGATGGACTTCTCAAGACAGCCCTAATAGTTATTGAAAATTGAGTAATATTCTCAGTGATTGAGTTACCTGGTGGTTTAGTGTTACCTCACACTCGGTCCATGTGATTCAATTGACTTTTGTTATCCATCATTATACTTATTCATTATCATTGTGCTCAGAGTCATGTTGTGTTGTAGAAGCACAAGAGTGTCAGTGTCGTAAGCGCTGTGTTGGCATCTGTAACCACCGACAAGGTGAGTAGTGTACCACAAGCGCACGGCCGCACGTGTCCGTCCGGGGCTAACGTTGGGACAAGCAACAACTTACTACATGGATTTTAAAATATTTCGAGGATGCAAGACATATTGGGAACATACTTTTTGTATCCCACTGGAATGAACTGTGAAAATCAGTGTAATTTGCATGTATTTTGTGGAATATTATGTCTTTGGATTATGTACTAGTGTTAATATTGTCTTGTCTGGGCACTTACAATAGAATATAAATGTTAACATTTAATTGTAATTTTAAGTTTGTCTAGTGATACACCTTTACCTACGAGCTAATAAGCAACCCCAAGTAACTGGATAAAATATGTTTGATTTTTCATTTCTGAAACTTTGATCTTGAACTAATTTAATGCATAGAGGGTTTTGTTCAGTTCTTGGGGAGATAAGGGACCTTAAATATGTTGATTTGATTTTAAGTTTACAATTTGTTAATGAACCTAAGGCACCAAGCAGTGACAGGTTTAAGACATGTTAATGAATATGACTTAAAGTTGCATATTCTTAAGGTAACCCCATAAAAAAAGTCCAACGGCATTAAGTCCGGACTTCTAGGTGGCCACAAAATGGCGCCATTCCTCCCAATCCAACGGCCAGGGAATCTGATGTTCAGAGCATCAGGGACAATATTGCTTAAATATCCATAAGTTAAACGAAAACGCCGCTGCACTAACACGACTCATTTTAATTCCGCATACCATAAAACACACTGCGCCTTCTGTTGTACAGTAGCCATGACTGCCACTACACTACTGCTAGTAGCAGTCATCGCTGTAAGCGCGGAGCCTGAAGTACAAATGCGCATAGGCACACAAGTCAAATGAGCTGAAAGGTTATTACCCAGAGTGACACTAAAACTCTGAGAGTTACTACACATTTTCACTTTTATTTCATACAGATAACTCGCTTGGTATTCCTGTAAAATATGAAATCCCGGACACCTTTTTCGATGACCCTTACCACGCAGGACCCTGAACACTACAGTGGCTTCTTCAAAAATCTGTTTGGATTTTATCTTCCCACAGTACTATAAGAAAAAGAATCTTAAGATGCATAACATGTACAAGAATGAAAGCTAAGTATGTCAGATTTCCTGCTTATCGAGTCAACGCTTACAGGCCTTTTCTAAAAGTTGGTATTGACTGTGGAGAACCCTTCTTAATTAAGGCTGAAAATCCCAAGTTAAGAAAGCCTATTTCTGTTTATTTATATGTTATTTATACGACTAAAGACCTTCATCTCGAACATCCTTCATCATATCTTTCGACAGATGCCTTTCTCGCTGCATTTGATCGATTCATCGCACAAAGAGGTACATTTGCACTGATGTGTACCGGTACTCTGATAGAGCCACTCCTGGTAGGAGCAAAATTGTTATTGATGATCTTTACCAACTTTTGTGGTTCTGAGTTTGTGTACTAAGTCACTAATCAACTAAGTAACAAAGGAATAACTTGGCACTTGAATCCAACCTTAGCACCTCACTTTGGTGGAATCTAGGAGGCCGGGATTAAAGCCACTAAATCTTGCCTTTATCATGTCATTGGAGACACAATTTTAACAAAATACATTTTTTTAAAGGCCAGCCCGCGGGTTACAGCTAGTATTTAATATTTTAGACTACCCTCAAGGTCCTAAAAAAATTAATGAACAAAACAAAAACCAATGCTTTGTGTCATATTTATTGTTCAAATGTTTAAAATATCTTAAGTGTTGTTTGGTTAAAGCCTTGATTTATCAATGAGATAATTTGCAGTGTTATTGAGCAAGTAGAATGTTGGTTTTGTTTGGTTGTAGGATGGAAAACTCAGCCTTCAATTAGAAAGGCTCTAAATTAAATTTTAAAATATGTTTTGGCAAATTTCCTAAGAATAATCTTTTTAAATGTTTCTCAGTTCATCTTTGAAATAAAACAAATACCAACTGGCAACTAGAAAAATTACAGATCAAAATTTTTTTAGTCTTCTATTATTCTATTTAATACATTAAAGTTTTTTTTCTGTAAAATCCCTTTTTCACTTGATCTACTAAACCGATTGTTACGATTAAAGTGTCATTTTCAAACTTATGATATAGTGCAAGGATTGCCTCCTAGACTTTAATTTATTTCTAGAGAGTGTTACCAAAGGTCCAGTGCAGCTATTGACTTTCTGTAGAGTTTTAATTTGACAGCTGATAGTCTTCAGTTGAATTTTTAACCCCAGTCAGATCGTAAACGAAAAGGGACAAAACAGTTCAGGAAAATCTTATATATTAAAAAAATTGGTTTTTCTTTTCCGAGTTCGTTTGGCTCTTCTACCCGACCGATTTTCATGATTGAGGTCTCAAATTGAAGGTATGCACGCACAGATTTGCCATCAAGCATCGGCATATAATTATCTATAGCCTCACTCGACATATACGTAAACGAAATTTGCTCCCCATGTATTTCTTATGGGAGTTAAATTAGGTTTTTCTTTTCCGAGTTCGTTTGGCTCTTCTACCCGACCGATTTTCATAACTGAGGTCTCGAATTGAAGGTTTGCACACACAGATTTGCCATCAAGAATCAGCATAAATGTATCTTTAATCCCACTCGGCATATACGTAAACAAAATTTGCTCCCCATGTATTTCTTATGGGACTTAAATTTGGTTTCTCTTTGCCGAGTGCGTTTGGCTCTTCTACCCGACCGATGGTCATGATTGAGGTCTTAAATTGAAGGCATACACACAAATATTTCACATCAAGCATCGACAATTGAAGTAAATGCATCAGCATATATTTACCTACTGTATTATTTGACCGAAAAACATAATTTGATTCATTTTCAAATTCTTACTTCAATTTAAGATGTGTTTCACCAGTTATAATTATACAATCCAATATATTTTGGTTAAATGTGGCCGACAATTTTTTTTTTTTACAATCTGTTGTTTTAGAAAATAAATTAATGTAATTTATACAAGTTTTTAATCTTAATTTTTTTTTTAAAGCTACTCGTTTAGGAGTAACAGCATGCGTGCACTACAGACAATATACAATTAATGGTGGTCTATTGTCTGTGGTTGCACCTAAGAAAAAAGGGCATTCTGCTCCTGTACCTCCTAAACGAGTAAGTTTTGAGAGGAAATGCAAAGATTAGATACACCCTGGTACTTAAAATATCATCTATAAATACCTTAAAATACAGAGTGTTTCAATTTTAAAGTTAGTTGCCAATTTAGGCAAATGGGGGCCACTTTTAAATCAATGGAATCAATATTTTTAATGTATTGTAAAAAATTAAGTGTAAGACCTGGACCCGGGACCGATTTATAACTCGTCAGGTATAGCATGACCGGTGGGGTGCGTTAGAGGGAGGGCAGTGGGCTCCGAGGCCACCGGTCATGCTATACCTGACGAGTTGTACATCTTCGTTTTTGAGGTTCCTAGAGGCCAAAAACACCATCCGTTCAAATTGATAGCCTAATATATGTGTGTGTCCGTTAGCACAATAACTCGAGCAAAAATGATCCGATTTTTATGAAATTTGATACAAACGTCTAAAACTACATTTATTCGAAAGAGTTTGCGAACCAGCATGATCGGACCACGGAAATGGGGGTTTATGGGGTAAAAATTAGTTTTCACCATTTTTGACCTAAAAAACATAAAATTTAGCATTTTATTTCCCAACCATTTTGTAGAGATTAAAAAAAAAAGTATATTAACACGTTCGCTACTGCAATAGTACAAAATTTTTCATTCAAATGGACTCGCGACGCACATATGCGACGGCCGGTTTCCACCCATAGACTGGCGTCGCATATATGCAACGGCTAGTCACATTAAAATAGACTGCCGTCGCATATTTGCGTCATGGTTCTAATGTTATTAAAATGCTTATATCTTTGTAACGGTCTATTTGAAGGCACTGAATTCCCTGCTGTGGTCTACAGAGATGTCTGACGCACAACTGCGTCGCTTGGTCTGTGGATATGATGATTGGTGACGTCATATGATAGTTGGAAAACTGGTCTTTACTTTTCTGCATCACTCTATGTATGTATGCAGTATGTATGCTGCATTATCCTATGTAGCTTTTATATTTGTTCAGTTATAAACTGTTCTTGAATAATCTGTATTTTTTTACTTACTTTAACCTCAAAACACAAACAAAAATGAACTGTCGCATATATGCGACGTTTGGTCTATTTCAAGAAAACTATGATAATTTTCACTATTGTCTTTGCTGTAGACCGGGCGTCGCAAATATGCGACATTACAAAAGGTTATAAAAAATACAAAAAAACAAGAATAAATTATTTACAAACACGATTGTAGCGTATTACGATGTAAATGATCACTGTTTTACAGGTATTCGTCCGTGGTCTGTGTGTACTGTTAACCAAGTGACAGCCGGTCTATGTGTAAAATTCAAATGTATACCTCGGTCTGTGACAATGACCGCGGTGTCGCATATATGCGACTCTCAGTAGCGAATGTGTTAAAGCGCTATTATGCACCTAATGGTTACGGGGAAAATTCCAAATATTGTAAATTTAAAACTTTCATGTTATTCTTATTAAGAATAAGTAAACTGTTGTTTGTAGTTTGATTGTTTATGGACAGTATTTGATCAAATTTGGAAAATGCATTTATTTCTTACTAAACTATTAACATAAATACCCCCACCGCAGCAAACCTGCAAACTAAGCGAATTTCAACTTGTCTGATTACATTTTACTAAACTATTTCCATAAATAAGACATATTTATTCCCTATTTAAATAACATAAGATTTAACAAGTGCTTAGGTTTGCTGCTACGGGAAAGGTAAATACCCCCGCCGCAGCAAACCTGCAGACTAAGCGAATTTCCATTTGACTGATTGGATTTACACTGAAATGTCTACTTAAAAATATAACATTTATTCTTGATTTAAATGGAATTAGTTTAACAAGTACTTAGGTTTGCTGCATCAGGGAGGGTAAAACTTTTTTTTTT